TTTTTCAGATTTGATGACTAAGGCTCAGAAAATTTAGGAGACCTACCTAGTTTCTCACAGCTACTAGGGAGATCCTAGCCTGAGGTTCAAGTCTTCTTATGTGAAAATCCAATTAAGTAAAAGTAACATATATTCTATTCCCACTCATAGTTAAGATAATTAACAATATTTAATGGCTATTTCTGACCTTTGCTTTAACAGGCAGTAATCAGGGATGAGCCACTCTACAGTATTTTGGGCTGTATCAAAATGGTAAGGATAAATCAGAGAGGAAAGTATGGTTTACTGAGAAAGCTTCTCTTTTTCATTTAAAAAAGGCTTTGACAAGTCTCAGATATCATATTATTTCACTCAGAATATTTAAGTATGTGTCTCTATCAGATAAGGACTTTTTAAACAGAAAAATAAAGCTATAATACCATTCACACCCAAGGAAATTGTCAATAATTCCTTAATATCATCTAGTATTAATTTTTTTAGTTATTGTAATGGTTAACAAGAGACTCTTAACTGAAATATTTACAAATGAAATGATAGCTGCGATTTGCTTCAAAATAATACGGAAGGGTGCTGTTGGGTGGATGAGGCAAGACTGGTCATGGATTGATGGTTGTTGGTGCTTCATAAGTACATGGAGTTAATTATACTATTCTGTATATGTCTGTATTTGAAATTCTCCACAATAGCAAAAAATAATAACCAGAAAATAAAAACCTACTAAGTAAAGTCAACTAAGACAAGTTAGCCAAACTTTCAAGATATTTTTACTTAATATTTTAATTCAAATTATCAGTTGGAATTTTTATCAGGTTGGTAATGATATTATAATTAACACAAACATAATCAGCACATAAAAGCTCAAAGATTTCTTATAAACATATCTGTTAGAATCAGACATGAAATACACTAATAGATTATGCATCTAACACTTATTTTAGCTTGCTTTTCAAAAATCAACGTTCTAATTTTTAAAAGTTTAGTTTTAGGCTAACCTTCGATATTTGACAGTGTACATGTTGCAGGTTCCATAAAGACCCCTTCTTTCCTGATAACAAAACCCATTTTAGAGAGGATAAGACACTACTGTAGCCCCAAGGGATAAAACTGTTTGATCCAAATTAATCATGATATTCTTATTCCCTTGCATAGTGACTGACCTAGGAATGACCATGTGACCCAGTTCTGACGAATGAAATGTAAATAAGTCTTCTGATTGGGATGTCTGGGAAAGCTTTTACTTTCCTAATTAAAAAAGGAAGAGTCTTGGGTGGGGGGAGGGTGGAAGGGGTAAAGGGGTAT